AAAGCTCAGACACCAAGGGAGTTGTGTTAGTCTCCTGTGACAAATTACCACAAATGGAGTTTTTAAAACAAATTGGCTTGGTACGGTGGCTCACACCTGTAATTCCAGCACTTTGGGAGGAGGAGGTGAGAGGATTGCATGAGCCCAAGGGTTTGAGACCAGCCAGGGCAACTGAGACTTTGTCTCTGCAATAAATAAAAAAATCAGTCAGGCATGGCTGTGCGTGCTTATAGTTCCAGCTACTTGGAAGGCTGAGGCAGAAGGATCACCTGAGCCCAACAGGTTGAGGCTGTGGTGGCCATGAGCATGCCACTGCATTCCAGCCTGGGCGATAGAGACTCCTACTCAGAAAAAAAATTAAATTATAAGCCGGGCTTGGTGGCTCAGCCTGTAATCCCAGCGCTTTGGGAGGCTGAGGTGAGTGGATTGCCTGAGCCGGTGGGTTCGAGACCCGCCTGGGCAACTTGGCGAGACCTCATCTCTACAATAAAAAATAAAAAAATCAGCCGGGCGTGGTAGCGCGTGCCTGTAATTCCGGCTACTTGGAAGGCTAAGGTGGCAGGATCGCTGAAGCCCAGCAGGTCGAGGCTACGGTGGCTGGGAGCGGCCACTGCACTCCAGTCTGGGCGACGGAGTGAGATTCCAACTCAAAAAAAAAAAAAATTTAAATTATAAATCAATAAATAAAACAAGTTCATTCGCTTATAATTCCGAAGACTAGAAGCCCAAAATCAGTTTCACTGGGGTGAATTCGAGGTGTTGGCAGGGCCACACTCCCTCTAGAAACTCTGGAGAATTCAAACCTTTCTAGTTTCTGGTGGCTTCCAATATTCCTTGGTTGTGGTTGCATCACTCCAATCTCTGCCTTCATCTTTACATTGCTTTCTCTGTATATGTGATTTTTTTCTTCAAATCTCTCACACTCACTCTCTGTCTCTTTTAATTTTTAAAACTTTTTTGTAGAGATGAGGTTTCCCTATGTTGCTGAGGCTGGTCTTGAACTTCTGACCTCAAGCAATCCTCCCACCTTGGCCTCCAAAGTATTAGGATTACAAGTGTGAGCCACCACACACTGCCTATCTCTCTCTTAAAAGGACACTTGTGATTGCATTTAGGTCCCACTTGCTACTCCAAGATAATCTCACCACCTCCAAATCCTTAACTTAATCACATCTACATTTTTAATTATAAGGTAACATAGGTTTTGAGGATTAGGGTCTGATATCTTTGGGTGGCCATTATTCAGCCTACTGAGGTATTGTTTCCCTTCTAGGGAGATAAAGGCTCTCTAAACTGGGCAAAGTCCTGTAATAATTGAGTCTGCCCAGTATCCCTCTTGGGAGGCTTGATATCACCATACCACAGATTGGAAAACTGTGGCTCAGAGCAGTTCATCACACGACTGATGATTGGTGGAGCTGAATTGGAACCTCAGTCAGTTGGATTCCATAACCTGCTCTGACTTCACTTGGGCCTTTAGTAGATTCCAGAGTCTTACCTCAGTTCATGGGATACTCTGGTGTCAGAGGCTTCGGCTCAGGGCCTGGACTTGACCTCCTTTGGCCAGGGCTTATCTGTGGCTGAACTCCCCTCTCCCCGCACCCCCCCCCAGCCCTTCTCTGAACATTTTTTTCCCCAAAAGAGGGAATGGCTAGAGTCTAAGCTCTTCAGGGTGCTGGTGCCAAAACCAGTGGGTGGCTAGTGATCTGGCCCCTAGATCTAGGCCTAGGTGCCAGTCTGAGTGCCCCAGAACCCAAACCCTGCTTGTGCAAGGTCTCGTTTGTTTTTAGGGATAAACCAGGATTTTCCCAGGATGGGCTGCCTGGGATGTCTTTACGTTCTCTCCATGTGGCTCATGAGGTCTCCCCTGTTGCCTCTACACTAGGTTTTGCTGGCACTCAAAACTCCAGCTTCTTTCTGCCTTTGTAAAATGAGGATGATGCTTCCTGCCACTTGAGCTGTGGTAAGGATAATTAAATTAGATCACCCTTTGCATCTGGCACCTGTCACAGGACAAGTATTCAACCAGTGTGAGTTAGTATAGTCTTCTTGGCCTTTCCCTGCCTAGTCCTATCCAAGACTTTAACTCTGCTGAACTCATTGCTGGGCTTCAGGCATCCCTGGTGCTCTGTAGCAGAAGTGACTTCGTTTCTCAACCAGTTAAGCATTTTTGGAGGTCTTGGTGTCTTAGTCCTTTGGTCAAGTGGCACTTCCTCTCAGGTGCCAGCCTTTGTGGCTGGGTCAGATCTGTTCCTCTGTTTCACAACACCCCATGTTTTCCCTTCTTTCACAGCCCTGCTCACACTGTGTGGTGGTTGTGTTTCCCTGCCCCTCCCCTAAGCAGTTTGTGAGCTTAATAAGGCTAGAGACCAAGTCTGATTCATTTATCTGTCTTCATTGCCCAGGCCAGGATCTGACTCAGTAGCTGTCTGGTAAATCTCTTTGTTGGATGAGTAAGTAGGAAGCCCTCTCCTCCTCTTTGATCTCCCTTTCTCTCCTCTCTCCATATCTGGGGGCAGGAAATTGCTGTGTTCCTTTCTCTTTTTAAGAACTCTTCCCATCAGGTCTGGGGCTATAGTTGTAGTTGCACGCTCTCTGCTGGAGACCCCTGGTTGAAGCAAGGCCCCATGATCTTGGAAGGTGGCTGGCCCTGTGAATCAGGGGTGGACTTAGGGGTAACTGGCTGGATTGTGCTAGTCCACAGTCTCTGGGGCAGGAGGGGCACCTGGACCACCGGAATGTTGTGTAAAAATGAGTCTTTGTGTTGCCCATGGAAGCCCATTAAGGACTTCCTGGTGCCTTTGTCATCTCTGGAAATTTAGCCACATCTTCCTGGGGTGTGGACTCTGCTAGTGGGGCTGGCTGGGTATTTCCTTGTTACTCCCCCTTCATCCCTTCCTGTCCAGCTACTCACCTAGGATTTTTTTTTTTTTTTGAGTTGGAGTCTCACTCTGTCGCCCAGACTGGAGTGCAGTGGCATGCTCCCGGCCACCGCAGCCTTGCCCTGCTAGGCTCTGGTGATCTTTCTGCCTCAGCCTTCCAAGTAACCGGAACTACAGGCACACGCTACCATGCCTGGCTAGTTTTTTGATTTATTGTAGAGACAAGGTCTCGCCAAGTTGCCCAGGTGGGTCTCAAACCCCGTGGGCTCAGGCAATACACTCGCCTCGACCTCCCAAAGAGCGCTGGGATTACAGGCTGAGCCACTGAGCTCAGCCTTTTTTTTTTTTTTGAGTTGAAGTCTCACTCTGTCACCCAGGCTTGAGTGCAGTGACATGCCCATGGCCACCACAGCCTCGACCTGCTGAGCTCAGGTGACCCTTCCGCTTCAGCCTTCCAAGTAGCTGGAACCACAGGCATGTGCCACCATACCTGGCTGATTTTTTTATTTATTGTAGAGATGAGGTCTCACCAAGTTGCTCAGGCAGTCCTCTTGTCTATGCCTCCCAAAGTGCTGGGATTACAGGCATGAGTCACCGCGCCTGTCTTCACCTAGGACTTTTGAGGGCTTCTTGGTTGTATATCATCTCTGTGCCAGTCTCTCCCCATCTGTGATTGGTGACAATCTCACTAGTATATGACATGTCATTTACAAAGCCTCTTTAGGTCCTGAAACGCCTCTGAGCCTCTTGACAACTGTGTCAAGTAGAGGAAACTGAGGCTTGGCAAATTTAGGCAGTTTACCTGAAATCAGGCAGCAAGTGAGTGACAGAGCTGTGATGGGAACCCAGAGCTCTTGGCCTCTGAACCTTGTGATTACTACTATGCTAGAGACTTCTCTCTGCTGGTTTTCCTGGGGGATGGGTTCTAGCTTTTGCCTAGGGGAAAAATGGCCTTGCGGAGAGGGAGAGGTAGTTGCTGTGTCTGGTTACTATTAACCCAGATCCAATAAATCCTTGGGCAGAGCAGTGTCCTCAAGGATTTGTGTTCTTATAGTTTCCAGCCCTGTTGCTGGGTCAGACTGGCTGTTTCTGGTAGCCAGCAGAGGGCGTGAGGGGCCAAGGAAAGGTCTGCTGCTTCTGGTTTGTTTTGTTTTGAAATGGAAAATATGTCTTAAGTGGTTACATGTATGGCCATTTAAAAAAAAAAAAACATGAAAATACGTATTTGTACAAGGTTCACTTCAGGGCCAGGTGTGCTTTGGAATTTAGAAAAATTTCAGAATTTAGAAAAGTCACCTGGTTATGTATGTTTTGTATTACATAACACCTCTAGCAGAGTCTGAGGCAGCACCTGATAATCAAACACCTGGGTGTTTTCTGCATAGAAATATTTGAATATTCACCCCAAGGGGAATAAATTCTTGTTATTTCCAGTCAGGTTATACCAAATGAGTTAGATAAAGACTTGGGATTTTCACAGCTTTTTGGGTTTGGAATTTTAGATGAGGGATTGTGTGCCTTTATAAATTAGGAAAATGAAGCAAAATCACCTGTATCACTAAGACTTAGGGATAATATTTTGTTTAACCTTCCTGATTTTGTTTTCATACGTGCTTGTCTATACATATATGTATATATGTGTTAGATGTGATCAGTCACTAATGAGATAATAGTTTGCACACTTTTTGCTTTATATAATAATCTTGGAATTTCCTAGCTGTTTGTAGGGGTCAGGATCTAGGCTCTTGCCAGTCCTTCTCTCTTCAACGTCTCCCCTAGGTGAAACTCCTTCAGATAGAGCCAGATTTTCTACCCAGGCATTTGCTGAGGCTGGGAGTGTGGCTTCTTGGGCCAGGCCCTCCAGGGTCAGCAGGGGCCAGAAGGCAGTTGAGACCTCTGCTCTCAGGGCTCCTGAGACCCTTTTGGAAGCAAGTCTTAGGTTCACCCAGACTGATTCCCTAAAAGAGTCTCCTGCTCCATATGCACAGAGTGGTCAACAGGGCGGAGAACTTTACCTTGCCCAGTGTCCTCTTCTGGGCCTCTGGGGAGCTTGAGGGCAGGGCATTGGGGAGGGGGTACAGGCCTTCCCTGTTGCTGACCCCCACCTCTTCCCTCCAGCAGGAGCACTGGTTTGAAAAGGCCCTACGAGACAAGAAGGGCTTCATCATCAAGCAGATGAAGGAGGACGGCGCCTGTCTTTTCCGGGCTGTAGGTGAGTCTCTGCCTCAGCCCTCAAGGGCCTTGGTAGGGCTGTCCCTAAGCTGTGTCCCAGTTACCAAGAGTAGCCCCTGAGATAAGGTTGAGGTGGAGTTACTTGATTTTTTAGGAACTCCAAGCTCCAGCTTCAAATTAGTATCTAGCCTTGGGTCCTGGGTCATGAGACATTGTGGTGCTACAAGAGTAATAATAACAGCAGTAATAATGATAAAGAAAATAACATCACTCAGGGACAGATTGTTCTGTCAGGCACTACAAGAAACACCTTTAATTCTCGCCCAAGCTAGGCAGTAAGGACTACTATTGCTTCCATTTGTCAGTTGAGAATAGTGGCTCAGACCTGGGGGAGTGACTTGCCCAGGGTCAAACAGATAGTATGTGGTAGATCTGAGATTTGGTGTCTAGGTTAGATTAGCCTGAGGCCCATGTTCTTAACAATAGCACACTGCCATCTCCCTGGGATATAAGGCACCTAAGTTTGCACCCAGATCCTATCTGTGGTATGTTTTGGGTCTCTATTCCCCAATCTGTATGTGTGTAGGAGGGTCATCAAACTACATCTTTACAAATTTCTTGTAACATAGAATTTTTTTTAAACTTAGACAAAAGTAGAGAAAATAATGAACCCTCATGTACCCATCATCCAGTTTCAAAATAGTCGTCAACACATGGCCAGCCTTGTTTCATCACTACCCCACCCACTCTTTCTCACTCCCTGAAACAAGAGTATTTTTAAAGCAAAACCCTGACATTGGATCATTTCATTTGTAAATATTTCTGTATGTTTTTATGACAGATACAGGCTTTCTCTTTTTAAACATAATTAAAATGCCGTTATTGTACCTAACAAAATGTATTCCGTAATACCACCTGTTATCCAGTCTAAGCTAGATCTTTGAGGCCCCTCTGGCTCTGAATCTGTGACCTAACAAGTAATTGTGAGGTCCTGTACTAGGTTGAAGGGGAAGCTGGAAGTGTGACCTTGTCTTTGGGGCTCTGGTATTGACTCAGGAAAAGTGCCCTGTGACAGGAGCTTTGAGCTGGGAGTCAGAAGACCTATCTTCTAGTTGTGGCCCTGATTCATAACTGCTGTGTGACCCTTGGCCTTTGTCTCTGAAATGGTGTTGATTCTCAAGGGCTCTTTGAGTTCCTTCTGGGTCTGTTATTCTCTCAGTCTGTAAGTATCTCTCAGGTTTACTGGTGGGTTGGACTGGTTCAGGCTCCACTCCTGGCTGTGCCCCTGATTCTCAGTGTGACCTTAGGCAAGCAGCTCTTCTTTCCTGAGTGTTTCTTTATCTGTAAAACAGGGCTAAAAGATCCCAGTGCTGTAATGATTTAATGAGGTTACTTTGGTAAATCCCAACAGTAGCATTGGTAAAACCTGGATGCTGTTTTCAGTGGTGCCTCATAGTCACAAGTGTTCACTGAAAGGGTGGAGTAGGTAGTCACCTCCCCATTCTACCAAGCAGAAGAGGTTCAGGCAGTGGACTCTTTTAGACTGACAAATATCTCAGCCCCCTACCCTTCTGGCTCAAATTTGTGTTCTCTCTGGAGTGTTTCCTATAAAAAGGGTTGGGGTTTAGGATCATCTTAAAAGGAAGACAAGAAACTATTGCAGGGGCCTGTTAGGTGCTGGACCTTGTGTTGAGACCTCAGGCTGGATGTGGGGTAATCAGGGCTGCTGGGTGGAGTTAGGGTCAGAGAATGCAGCTGGAGATCTGGGTCTTGGGCAGTCTTTTTTTTTTTTTTGAGTCAGTGTCACTCTGTTGCCCAGGCTGGAGTGCAGTGGCACACTCACAGCCACCACAGCCTCGAGCTGCTGGGCTTAGGCGATCCTTCTGCCTCAGTCTTCCAAGTAGCTGAAACTAGAGGCATGCACCACCACGCCTGGCTAACTTTTTTGATTTATTGTAGAGATGAGGTCTTGCCAAGTTGGCTAGGCTGATCTCAAACCCCTGGGCTCAGGCAGTCCTCTCACCTCAGCCTCCCAAAGTGTTGGGATTACAGGCGTGAACCACTGTGTTGGGCAGTCATTAAGGTAGACCTCAGGGCTAGTAAGGACTTGGCTTGTGCAGTAACTTGTTTCAGGAGCAGTATTTGTATATGTATCTATTTAGCTGTTCTCCCCAAACACCCCTTGACCTTTTCCCCCACTGAGGCCTTTCAGTAAGGGGCCTAAGCTTACAGGAAGAGCTGGCCATGGCAGGTTGAAGGCCATTCCTTATCAGCACTATGGCTATACATTTCCCCTGACTGGGCTGCACTCAGCTTTCCTCTGTAAAACCTTAAGTCCTGTGTCCTCTCCCTCAGAAGTACATGACCTCTGGTCTCTAGGTCTCATCTGGAGGTTTCTCTGGTGCAGAGTGTACAACACATGTACCTGGAAGGGGACTTTGTTCCCAGGCTTTTTACTGTCCCCCTGTTTCCATTGTAGCCTGGATAGGGACAGATGACAGTCACTTAGACTCTAGTGTGCAGGCCTGCAGGCTCTGGTTTTCTACTGTGCATTGAGTAGTGAAGGATCACATAACTGAGAGATGGACTTGGGAGGGAAGCAAACATAGAGGGCACTCTCGGTTTACTTGACCCCTGCTGTGTGCTAGGCATTTAGCTGTGTGCTTCAGGCTCACTGCAAAATTTGAGTCATTATCCCATGAGACAGGTGAGAAGATTGAAACTTAGAAAAGGGAAATGACATGTTCAGGATCATTAGTGGCAGAGATGGCATGGAAACCCAGAGGTGTCCAAAGAACACATTCTTTCTATAATCCTAAGAGCCTTGGCTTCTTAGCTTGGTTGTCAACTGGCTGGGTGACCTCAGCTATTTCCTTGACATCTCTGGGCTTTACCTCCTCCAACTAAGAGCACATGGTCCTCTATTGTTGGAGTCTTGAGGCAGAAACTTTCTGCTTTGCCTCTGAGGTCTGTGTGAACCAGTATCCATTGCTTGTGCTCAGTTCTCTCCTACCACCTGCTATTGGGGATTCATGAGCATCAGCAAAGGCTTGGGTGGGGTGGAGAAGGGAGCCTGAGTGTCTCAAAGGTATCCTGTGACCCACCCTGCTCCTGCTATGTTCAGATAACCTCTTCCTGGAAATGTGACTCTGCAGCTCTCCCTCCTCCCCTCCCTCCATGTGGCTTTGACTCAGCAGAAACCTCTGACCCTGACCATGGCCCTGGTGCTTGCCTCTGTGGGCAGAGTGGAGGTCATACGGTTGTGTCTGCATGGGCCACAATGCAGCTGCTAGGACTGTGTGTGTTAAAGCAGTGGGGCTCAGAAACACTAGTCATGCCAACTCCTCTGAGTCTTTTGGTCTTGGAACATGGACCATTAGCACTAGGGGTGCATCTTAGATCAATTTTGACTATTTTATAAAAAGGGAAACTGAAGCCTCAAGAGAAATCCAGGGCCCTACCCTATGTAGGTCACACAGTGTCAACATCAGTGTTTGAGGTTGAATCAGGCCACAGAAGAAGATTCCCATGGGCCATTTCCTGTATGCCACCTTCCTTTGGTCTCTCTATCCTGCATCCTTCAGTTTTCTCATCCTTGCAGCAGAAGTCCTTGAGCAGAGAAGCAGACATGTTAAAGACCAGGCTATCGAGAGAGATGAGTTCTCCTGTCTTCCCCACTGAGGGTGTGCCAATTGTGGTAGTTGAGGCCACGGACCAGGACACACCACAGCTGCTTGACAAGCAGACAAGACCTTTTTTCTGGCTCATGTCCTAAGGAAATGAGCCCTTAGTGGGACCAGGGTTCCCACTGGACCAGGAGGGTAGTAGTGAAGAGCAGACCAGGTTCCTGTCTCTCCCTGCTGCTGTGTACACAGATTTGTTGGTTTGCTTTTTAGTTCCCTGTAGACACCAATCTTCATTTTCTGTTCTTAGTGGAACTCGCTGTGGTTCTTCTGGCAGGCAGGCGGGTAGCAACCTGGGGAGTAGGCTGTTCCCAGATGTCTCTAAAGCAAATGGTAGGACTCTGTACTTGAATCCCTGTAGAAAGGTGATCCAGGCTTTCCTGGATAACTCTGGGTACATATTGGTTATATTTTAGGGAAACTGAGGAAGAAGGACTTCCCTCCAGCAGCAGAGGGGAGAGGTTGAGGCAATTAGTTATTAGAGCTATTATTCCCCACCTACCCTGGTGTGGTTCTTGTTTGTAGAGCCTCACATCTCATCCAGCCTTTAGTCTTTCCTGGTTGGTGACAAGGGCATCTCTACTTGTTGAATGCAGTAGTTCTCGTTGTTGTGGGCATTTGGCCTCAGAGAATATCTTAGGCAGGCTCCTCTGGCTGTATATATGTACATGCATCTCTATGCTGATGTTTCTGTGTGCTCAGAGAAAGGAAAGAAGTGAACTGTGCAGAGAGGGTAAGGTTCTTGTTGACCTCTGTGGCCTAGGGAGAGGTACAACTCCTGTTACCTGTAATCACTGCCCACTCTCAGGTGTTTTCTGGGTTCCATCTGATTCCTGCTCGTGCTGGTGGGGAAATGAGGCAGACAGGATCAGGCTTGGCCCCAGGAAGTAAGGTGTAGCTGGATTGGGGTGGGGGGTGGTAGTATCACCTGGGGCCAACAGTTACCACTTGGGAGCCTGACCTCACCTTTACCCAGCTAAATGTGTGATATTGGACCAGCTGTGCCACATTTCTGTATCCCAGTACAGCATGCCTCCTGGGTAAGTAGGAGTGTTTTGATGAGGATGAAATGAGTTGGAGTGTGAAAAGTCTTTGGTGGACCTGGTTGTATTGTACTGAGGATTTCTCAGCCTATTGGGGATGGGAACTGAGGAGGGATCCTGGGGGACCCCTTCCAGCTGGACTGTAGGAGGGGAGAACAGGTGCAGATTGCCCATAAATGCAGCGTCAGCAGGAGGAGGAGTTTCAGTTTCTATCAAAACAAGTTTTCTGAATTCCCCTACCTTTGCAAGTTCCCTCCACCTCAGGCCCCTCTACAGGGAAATTCAGCCTGGGTCCCACCCCCATGTGCCTACCTTTTGGGAGAGGAAGCTTTCTGGAGGACAGAGGTGGGGGGAGGAAAGTCAGAAAAGCTAATCCTTGTTGAGTACTTAGTATGTTCTTAGCTCTGTGCTAGATGCTTTTCCTGCCTTGCCATTGAAAAAATCCTACTCTCCCTTGCTGGGGGTGTACTATTGTTGTTTTCTTGATTCAGAGATGCACATTTTCTTCCATATTAATGATGCCAAAATTAGAGTATATCTTATCAATGTGGTGAGTTCCTCCCCCTCAAAGTTGTGATTAAATGCAAGTTGTACCATATACCTATCAGTGGCATCATAGGATTGAAGAGAGATGGTGATATTTTGCATTTTAAAGATGTGTCATAATTTGCCAATACTTCAGGACCCTGATTTGTGAAGCCTGTATTATTAATTTGATAATGATTTGGTTGCCAAAGTTTTGAACTAAGGGCACAGAAGATAAGCATTTGGACCTTTGCATACAGTAAGGATACAGAGCCCATCTTGCTTGCAAGAGGAGGGGCAGACTAGGCTCTGCATTTGAAGCTTTTCTCTGAGGAAGTACAGCAGAAATGAGGAAGGGCTTTGTAAGCAGTTTCAGCAACATTCTGGCTGACTTGTGGGTAGCTAGCAATATGAAGGAATTGTCCTCATGACAAACCGGGCACCTATTGCTTTTTTTTCTTTTTTTTTGAGTTGGAGTCTCACTCTGTCGCCCAGGCTGGAGTGCAGTGGCACGCTCACAGCCACCCCAGCATTGACCTACTAGGCTCCGGCGATCCTTCCGCCTCAGCCTTCCAAGTAGCTGGAACTACAGGCACGCGCTACCATGCCCAGCTAAGGGCACCTGTTTCTTGACCACCTTCTATGCCTTAGGTGCTTGGCAAATCTTCCCCAGTAGTTTGGACAACATTGTAAGAGGAAGAGGAGTGAGGGGCATGTAACATCACTAAGGGTACCTGACCCTAAACCAAGGGAAATGAGGACCAGTTGGGAGTCCAAACTTGACCTGCACATAAACTACTTATGTACATAATCCTGACTTGCATCCCATATCTTTACAATTAAAAAAAATTTTTTTTAAAAAGAAGAGGGGTTACTGACCCCACTTTGTGAATGAGGACATTTTGGCCCGGAGAGGTTAAAAAGGCCTTGTTCATTGCCTTACAGCTAGGAGGCAGCAGAGCCTTTCTGAAAGTCAAAGGGGTCTGTGGCAGGGAAAGGGAATCCTCAAGGGATTCTCCCCCAGCTCCCTTCCCTGTCCGGTAGTCTTCCCTCTTTCCCCCATTTTCCTGCATCTAGCATCTGGCTCTTGTAGACAGAGCTCCCAGGCTTGGAAATGACATTTGAACCTTCCGTAGGTGATGGGTTTTCTTCAACACCTCAGCCTGTCTCGCTGAGCCTGGCAGGATGACTCCTGTTTAACCCCTTTACTCCCATCTCAGTTCCTGTTTACTGCAGCTGCCTGCTGTACTGCCTCCTGGCACCCCAAGCTCAGCCTACAGAAATAGCTCCTCAAGCAGCTCTATTGTGCAGGCTTTGTGGTCCTGGCTTCTAAGAAAGGCAGCAGCAGGGGGCCCCCAGCTTGTGCGCAGGACATGTGACTTGCTGGAAGTGCCGCTGGGGGTTGTGGAGGAGTGTGTGGCCACAGAACCCACATCCTTGTTTACATCGGTGAAGGGGCTACCCCTTCCCACCTTCACAACTCCCACACCCCCCTCACCCCTCAGGTCTCTTCACCTCCAAGAAGGCTTGAGATAGAGATGGGCCTCATTTCTCTATCAGAGCAGCCTTTCTTATCTCTCAGAACCCTCCAGGGAGAGAAGGGGAAAGCAGCAGAGGCGTTTTTCTGACAGTTCTTCAGAGGGATAGACTGATGGTCGTGGAAGAATTCTGGCATGTTCCCTGCATGACCTGACCCTGCTCCCGTGTCCCAGGGAGATGTTATCAGAGCAGTGGTCCTCTGGGAAAACAAAGGGAAATTCCCTCTTTGTCTTAACCGGTGGAAATCAGATTTGCCTAATCTTTAAGCATGTGTGTGTGTGTGTGTGTGTGTTTTAAGAGACAAGATTTTTTTTAACCTAGTCCTGAAGAGTCAGCAAAAGAAATGAGGTCTTGCTACGTTATCCAGGCTAGTATGGAACTACTGGTCTCAAACTGTCCTCCCGCCTCAGCCTCTTAAATTGCTGGGATTACAGATGCAAGCCACTGTGCTTAGCTTCAAGCCCACTTTAATTTCTCCACAAGGAGAGGTGCTCCCTGGCTTCCCCAGGTTATCCATCTGCTCAGCAAAGTTTTCCTGATTTCCTTTACTTTATCAGGCCCTGAACTGGGTGTGGACTTAGCTGTGAACTGCCCTCTTCCTTCAGTGGAAGCCTAGTGTGACCTGGCCAAAAATTTGTCTTTGCACCATTTGATAAATCTGGTGGTAGAGGTGTCCTGGAGGGTGGAAAACTGTATTAAAGATAGCATGTTGGTGTTTGAGAAGTATGCAGGTGAAGAGGATGGAATGAGCATCCTGAAGAGAGGGAACAACATATGTGAAGAACCTCAAGGGAAGCTGAGGGAACCTGGTTCTTTCTTGCCTTAGTTTGCCCATGACACCTGGACCATTTGGACCACAGGCTGCCCTTCCTGAGTTAAGCTGAAGTTAGTTGCGTGTGTGTCTTATCTATTTTACTAGACTGTGTGCTAGTGAAGGTAGGAGCAGTATTTTACTTACCTCTGTCACCTTCATAGAACCACACATTCAGGCCTCTTTGTGGAGACTCTGATTTACTCAGTGACTACTCTGTCCCAAGCCCAGTGGTACTCACTTTATACCCATTATCTCATTTAATCCCCACAAAAGGTCTTCCAGGTTGTTAATCCATCTTGGATGTTTGTTTTTGAGTTGGAGTCTCACTCTGTCGCCCAGACTGGAATGCGGTGGCCACTCCCGGCCACCGCAGCCTCGACCTGCTGGGCTCCGGCGATCCTTCCGCCTCAGCCTTCCAAGTAGCCGGAATGACAGGCGCGCGCTACCACGCCTGGCTAATTTTTTGATTTTATTGTAGAGATGAGGTCTCGCCTGCCCAGGCGGGTCTCGAACCCGTGGGCTCAGGCAATCCACTCACCTCAGCCTCCCAAAGGCACGGGATTACAGGCTGAGCCACCGAGCCCGGCTTGTTCCTATTTTTTAAATGAGGCATATGAGGCTCAGAATACTTGGGTCACTTGCTTCTGGTTACTTACCTCACTAGTATCTGGCAAACTGGTCTTAGAGCCAAGTTTTGTTTTCCTTTTTCTTTTTTAATCTACAAAGGCCATGCTGACTCCTAGGAGTTGGAAAAATGGAATTCCAGAGTTGACTCTATCATAGACTGTGATCTTGGGCAAGCTACAAACTCTCCAGAACCTCAGTTTCCTCATATGGAAGTGAGGAGGGTGTGTATAACCAATTTGGTGCTTGAGACCACTTAATGGAACTTAGATTGTTGGTTGATTTATCTGAGTGACCAGGCATGTCCCAAAGTCATATGCCCAAGAAGCCTGTGGTTGTGTTCTTCTCACCTGCACTGTCTTGTTCTTCAAGTCTTTCCCTGCTTGCCTCTTTTTCCATGACCTCATTCCACCTACAAGGGCAAGAATGGGGTGGGGAAGAGAGTTTCTCTGACCCCCCCCCCCCATTTTCTCCTCCACAAGGATGTTTTGTGACTCAGAAGTCTGGCAGCTCTGACCCCAGCCTCTCCTTTCTTTTGTTCCCACAGCTGACCAGGTGTATGGAGACCAGGATATGCATGAGGTTGTGCGAAAGCACTGCATGGACTATCTGGTGAGACCTTGGGGAGGTTTTGGGGCAGGAGAAGGGTGGGAGGATCTCCTCTCTGCACAGACCTTGACCTTCCAATCTGTTCTGCAGATGAAGAATGCTGATTACTTCTCCAACTATGTCACAGAGGACTTCACCACCTACATTAACCGGAAGCGGAAAAACAACTGCCATGGCAACCACATTGAAATGCAGGCCATGGCGGAGATGTACAACCGTCCTGTGGAGGTGTACCAATACAGCACAGGTACTTCTGCAGTGGGTAGTTGAGGGACTGGTGGCATATATTCCAAGCCTGCCCTACCCAGCCTGTTGTGGATGCTCCCTCCTTCTCTTTCTCTGCAGAACCCATCAACACATTCCATGGGATACATCAAAATGAAGATGAACCCATCCGAGTCAGCTACCATCGGAATATCCACTATAATTCAGTGGTGAATCCTAACAAGGCTACCATTGGTGTGGGGCTGGGCCTGCCATCATTCAAACCAGGGGTGAGTGGGTCCCTGTGCCCATGATGGCTGCTAGATACAGAGGTCAGAAACCTCTGATAGAGTTTCAGTTCTGCCCCCAATCCACAAAAATGCCCTGTGTCTCTGGACCTCACCTGAAGTCTCACTTCTGTAAAGTTAGGAAATTAACCTTAGGTGATCTCTCAGTGGGGCTCCTGCCTTGGTTGGTTTGCCTGTGAGCTGACTCACCCATCTTTTGTGACTGTTGAGGGATGACATTTTAGGATATGGAGTCCTGTTTGGGAATTGTGAGCCAGGGCTTGGTCTGGGTGTCTTGCCATGTATCTTCCTCCCAAGTTCATAGTGGTTATAGGCAGCTGCGGTCACAGAGACTTGGCGTGCAGACCTGGTGCCACTGCTTACTGGTTGTGGGAACATGGGTAGGTTGTACAAGTACTCTGGGCTAGCAGATTGGCTTATTCAGAAAGCACTTCCCACTGGGTCTCAGACCTGGTAGGTGTTCAGAAGGTGGCAGTGCATTTTCCCAGCAAACACTGTTAGATTGTCTCTTATAAATAGTTACCTGCTGGGGATTTAATATCTTCTATCCAGGTTTGACTTCTACATATAAAAAGTGCTCCTTCATTTTAGGAAACACATAGCCAGACACCAACATACCCTTCAACATAGTGGTGTTGGTTTGTTTTGAGTTGGAGTCTCACTCTGTTGCCCAGCGTGGAGTGCAGTGGCACACTCACAGCCACCACAGTCTCGACTTTCTAGGCACAGGTGATCCTTCCGCCTCAGCCTTCCAAGTAGCTGGAACTATAGGCACATGCCACCACGCCTGGTTAATTTTTTTATTTATTGTAGAGATGAAGTCTCGTTAAGTTGCCCAGGCTGGTCTCATACCCGTGGGCTCAAGCAATCCTCTCACCTCGGCCTCCCAAAGTTCTGGGAATATAGGCGTGAGCCACTGCACCTGGCCTTGTTTTGTTTTAAAATAAACTTTTAAAGTAAACTTTTAGAAACTTTTAAGAACAGCTCTAGATTTACAGAACTTTTACAAAGATAGAGAGTTCCTATATGCCCCACTATGATTAATGTATTAGCGTAGTTCATTTGTCATAATTAATGAACCAATATTGACCTATTATTAACTGAAGACCATATTTTATTCAGATTACCTCATTTTTTTTCCCCTAACGACCTTTATCTGTGCCGGGATCCCATCCAGGATCCCATAGTACATTTAGTTGTCATGAACCCTTTGTCTCCTGTTGGCTATGACAGTTTCTTAGAATTTCCTTGTTTTTGTTTTTGATCTGTTTACTGACTAGTTTTGCTTTTCTAGCCTCTCATACAATTGAATTCAATGCAGTATGCAGCTTTTTCAGACTGGCTTTTTTTCTACTTAACACTGTGCATTTAAGATTCATTCATGCCAGGCTTGGTGGCTCAGCCTGTAATCCCGCGCTTTGGGAGGCTGAGGTGAGTGGATTGCCTGAGCCCGCAGGTTCAAGACCCGCCTGGGCAACTTGGCGAGACCTCATCTCTACAATAAATCAAAAAATTAGCTGAGCGTGGTAGTGCGCGCCTGTAGTTCCAGCTACTTGGAAGGCTGAGGCGGAAGGGTCGCCGGAGCCCAGCAGGTCAAGGCTGTGGTGGCTGGGAGCGGCCACTGCACTCCAGTCTGGGTGACAGAGTGAGACTCCAACTCAAAAAAAAAAAAAGATTCATTCATGACTTGTCCTGGTTTGGTCACTCATTTTCTTTTTTCTTTCTTTAAAAGTTGAATGTTTTACATTTTTAAAATTAATAGGCTTAATTGTTTAGAGCAGTTTTAGATTTACAGGGCAGTTGAGATAGTGCAGAATTCCCATATATCCCTCTGCCCCTTGCACAGTTTTGCTGTTAGTAACATCTCAAATAACTTTGGTACATTTATTACAGTGTGTGAACCAGCATTCATACATTGTTACTAACCGAAGTCTTCATACCTCCTTAGACTCCTTTGTCTGTGACAGTTTCTCACAGTTTGCTTGTTTTGATGACCTTGACAGTTTTAAGGAATACTGATCAAATAAATATATTGTAGGAAGCTTCTCTTGGAATTTGATGTTTTTCTTGTTAGGCTGGGGGTTACGGGTTTTAGGGAGGAAGATCACAGAGGTAAAGTGCTATTCTCATTACATCATATCAAGGGTATATCCTGTGAATGTGATTTATGACTGTTGATGTTGTCCTTGGTCATCTGGCAGAAGTAACATTTGTCGTGTGTCTCCTCTGTAGTTACTCTTTCCTACCTTTTCCATACTGTACTATTTGGAAGAAAATCACTATGCACAGCTCATACCTAAGAAATGGGGGTTATGCTCCATCTCCTTGTGGGCATAGTATCTTTGTAAATTATTTAGAATCCTTCTGCAAGAAAATTCTGCCTCTTCTTCATTTATTAATTTATTCATATCAGTATGGACTTTAGGGTATTTATTTTATATTTTGGGTTATAATCCAAGACTGCTGTTAATTATTTTGTTGCTCAAGTTGTTCCTTTTTTTTTTTTTTTTTTTGGTAGAGATGAGGTCTCACTCAGTTACCCAGACTGGAGTGCTGTAACGCAACTGTAGATCACTGCAGCCTTGAACTCCTAGGCTCAAGTGATCCTCCCACCTCAGCCTCTAGAGTAGCAGGGACTAAGCATATGTCACCACACCTGGCTAATTTTTCTGTTTTTTGTAGAGAAGGGGGTCTCACTATGTTGCCCTGGCTAGTCTCAAATTCCTGGTCTCAAGTGATCCTCCTGCCTCGACTTCCCAAAGCACTGGGATTATAGGCATGAGCCACCATGCTTGGCCTCTTCCATTTTTGTTTAAGCACTACCTTACTTTCTGGTACTACAAGGTACTCCGGATTCATCTTGTATATTTTCTATTCCAGTCCTAGAATCAATCATTTCATTAGAGAATGTTATTAGAAACCAAAATCTAGGTACTGAGTGTGCTCTTTGCTACCAGATTGTCTTTGCTTCTAGGCCCTCTCAGCTGACAGAGCAAGGAAATATATGTGTGTATGCTAGCTTGTATTATGTGTACATATATATAAATATTTCTTTTTTTTTTTTTTTTTGAGTTGGAGTCTCACTTTGTCGCCCAGACTGGAGTGCAGTGGCCGCTCCCAGCCACCGCAGCCTCGACCTGCTGGGCTCTGGCGATCCTTCCGCCTCAGCCTTCCAAGTAGCCGGAATTACAGGCATGCACTACCATGCCCGGCTGATTTTTTTTTATTTATTGTAGAGATGCGGTCTCGCTGCTCAGGCGGGTCTCGAACCCGCGGGCTCAGGCAATCCACTCACCTCACCCTCCCAAAGGCGTGGGATTACAGGCTGAGCCACCGAGCCGGTTATATAAATATTTCTATGTGTAACCATCTGTATCTGTATTAAACTAAACATGAGTTCTTACTGATGTCTCCAACTCAAATCCATTACTACTTGCATCCTTCTGGCTGCCTCCCCTTGTTCATATGTAAATTCCCACTCCAACTGAGAAAACCGGCTCCCACCATCCATTTACATAACTGCTCACTTCATATGCATGTATAACAGTAACAGATTTGTTCACCTATACCTGCATGGAAAACAACTTCATCAACTAGAGCACAATGCTATGTGTGATTTCTTATGCCTGTGATATCACAGATTCCTTTTCGAAAGTGACTCAGGTCACCAATTTTTCACCCTAAGCGCTTTAGTGAAATCGCTTCATACATTTGTAATATATTTAGATTCTTTAGTCACATTCTACCTTCTACCTTGGGATTCCTGGCCTCCTAATTGGTCTTTTCAAAAAATTAGCATGCATTAAGATCCACTCTTGGTATTATATATTCTGTGGGTTTTGACTAATGCACAATATTAGGTATCCACCATTATGGTATCATTCTGATGCCGGGTGGGCTGTGGTGCAAAACTTGTAGATTCTTTGGTTCCTTTCTAAAATGAATTTTAGAGTGGCCAGCAAAGTTTTTTTTTTTTCCTTTTTTTTTTGAATTGGAGTCTCACTCTGTCGCCCAGGCTGGAGTGCAGTGGCATGCTTATGGCCACCGCAGCCTCCACGTGATGGGCTCAGGTGATCCTTCTGCTTCAGCCTTTCAAGTAGCTGGGACTACAGGCGCATGCCACCACACCTGGCTAATTTTTTTTTTTTTATTGTAGAGATGAGGTCTCACCATGTAGCCCAGGCTGGTCTCAAGCCCATGGGCTCACGCAATCGTCTCGCCTCCACCTCCCAAAGTTCTTGTAAGCCATTGTGGTCATTATGAGCCATTGTGCCCAGCTCAAAGTTTTCAAACAAAGTTTATTAGAGACAGAAGGGAGAAAAGAAACAGACATGCCAGAGTTGGCATGGCCGAAAGAAATCACACTTTAACTCTTTACAATACACCTGATATCCCCTCATGATGATCAATATGCTAAAGAGGGTAGAGCTTAGGTGACCATCACTCTGGAGATTGTCTCTGATAATACTTTTATCACTTTTAAGTTCCTTGTCCTTTCCCTTTCTCCTCCTCCTGCAGCCACTGGTCTTTTGTCTCTGGTTTTACCTTTTTCAGAGTGTCATATAATTGAAATCATACATATGTAGCCTTTAAAACTTCTTTTTGTTCCATGTTTTGTTTCTTTTTTCACCTGAGATTAAAATGATCAGTGTGACAAACTGCTTCTTTCAGTTAGTAGTATTACGTATCTCCATACCTTTTCATGGCTCATTAGCTCATTTATTTCTTATAAACTTGATATTCATTTATGGAAGTACCATAGTTTGTTTAATCATTCACCTATTGAAAGACATTCTTGGTTGCTTCCAGGTTTTGATGATATGAATAAAGCTTCTATAAGCTTCTGTATGCAGGTTTTTGTGTTGGCATCATTTTTAGATCAGTTGGGTAAATATCTAGGAGCAAGACTGCTGGATTGTGTTTGTAAGACTATGTTTTTATTTGTAAGAATCTACCAGTTTTCCATAGTTTTACCATTTGCATTACCATTATAATGAATGGGAAGTTCCTATGGCTCAGCATTATTACCAGCAATTGATATTGATAGTGTGTTGAATTTCAGCCATTCTGTTAGATGCATGGTGGTATTTCATTATTTTAATTTGCAATTGCCTAATGGCAAATGCTGTTGAGCATCTTTTCATATGCTTATTTACCATCTGTATGTCTTCTTTGGTGAATTGTGTGTGTGACTTCCTGGCATACAGTTCCTAAAATCCTTAGAAACTCCAAGGTGATGTCTTTTTGTATGGTAATGAGTTGACTGCTGGCTGGCAGCCCCTAGGTAGCTTTAGGATGGGGGCTGGTCACCAGAAACATCACAGCAGGATTTGACGGTTGGGATTTCCAGCCCATCCTCCAACCTCTGGGAAGGGGAGAGGGGCTAAAGATTTAAGTTGGTCACCTGTGGCCAACAATGCCTATGTAATGAAGCTCTCATTAAAATCCAAAAGGATGAGGCTCTGGGAGCTTCCGGAGCTGCACACGTGGGGGTTCCTGGAGGGTGGTGCCCCAAGGAGGGCATAGAAGCTCTGCGTCCCTTCCCCCATACCTCATTCTGTGCATCTCTTCATCTGTTTCTTTCCTTTGTAATGTCTTTCATAATAAACTAGGAAATGTGTTTCCTGAGTTCTTGATTTGAACTCTAGCAAATTAATCAAACCTCAAAAATGGGGGGTCATGGGAACCCCCATTTATAACCAGCTGTCAGAAATTCTGGAGGCCCAGACTTGAAACGATTGGTGTCTGAAGTGGGGGAGGGGAGTCATGGGACTGAGCTCTCAACTTGTGGGATCTGAGGCTATTCCCAGGTAAATAGCATTGGACAATTGAATTGGATTTGAGGACACCCAGCTGGTGTTCACTGCTTGGTTTGTGGGAAAACATTCTTACACATTTGGTCACAATTCTTCTGTGTGGTTGTTGTTGCCTGAGAATAGAAAAAATACATAGAGTGTGTTTGTAATTTTTGCCTATTTTTAATTGACTTGTTCTAACAGTTTTATATACTTTTTTATTATTCACAGTAAAAAAAATGAAATTTTATGTCATTTAGCACACATGCATTTATGTGTAGTGTGTATATATGCATTAATGTTAACTAAAGCTTTGTGAAACAGTATTAATACATATTCCCTAGGATATACTCTTTTATTTTGTATTATTTTATATTTTAAAATGCTGTTGGCCAGTCCAGGCATCTTGGTGAGACTTTGTCTCTACAACAAATAAATTTTAAAAATTAGCCAGGCGTGGTAGCACACGCCTGTAGTTCTGGCAACTTGGAAGGATTCGAGCCCAGCAGGTGGACACTGGCAAACCGTGAGTGTGCCACCGCACTTCAGCCTGGGCAACAGAGTGAGACTCCAACTCAAAAAAAAAAAAATGCTGTTGGCTCTCACAGCCTGACAAACAGTACTCTTATTCAGTGTCCTACAATTCATAGCACCTCACACTGTGTTGCTACACATCCACATGGCTTCCCTCAGCCCCTTAACATGTTGAGTACCCCTTCTACCCTGTGCACATACAGCTAACTTCTTGGGTGATCTTTTCTCTTCGTCCCCTCTGGCTATACGTGAGGAAGGCCTCAGCATTATGAGTCATCACTGATGATGGGGTTTCTTTAAATTAAGGCGCAGGCTGGAGGGCATTTGGTTACCCCAGACTTAGTTCTTCAGTTGAGGCTTCTTGGGGTTGAAGTCAAGTCTTTTGAGCATAGGGTTCTGAATGACTGGTCCTACAACCCAAGCCTACTTTTCCGAGTCCCTGATAAAGGCAGTCTGCCAAGGGTTGCTTTATGAGAGTGCTTGACTTCCTCTCTCCTTTTCTCTGAGTCCTGTGGGCCTATGTCCCTGAGTTGGTTCTGGTTCTTGGCCAGGTTCAGCGTGTCATTGCACATCCTTGTTCCTCTCCCTCCTTGCAGTTTGCGGAGCAGTCCCTGATGAAGAATGCCATTAAAACATCAGAGGAGTCATGGATTGAACAGCAGATGCTAGAAGACAAGAAACGGGCCACAGATTGGGAGGCCACCAATGAGGCCATTGAGGAACAGGTGGCTCGGGAATCCTACCTGCAGTGGCTGCGGGATCAGGAGAAACAGGCCCGCCAGGTCCGCGGCCCCAGCCAGGTGCGTCATGGGCTCTGTCACTGGCCTGGCCAAGAACCCATTACTTCCCATGCTTTGCCTCTAAACAGGCAGAAAAAAATTAAGCAGTTTTGACATCTGGGAGGGAAAGAGGCACCCAGCCCTATCTGTAACTCATCTTGGCCTTAGTTTTGGCATTGTGCCTTAGAACTTTTGGTACTTGTGCAGAACAAGGGCTTAAGGAGTGAGGGAAGGCAGCCACTGCTGCTGGTGACATGAGCAATGGGTAACTGCAGAGACATAAGCTTTTGTTGAATGCTCTTGTATGCCAGGCTTTGTGCTAAGCTTGTAAAATCAGGTTCAGCCTTTTCTGCCCTCAATGATCCCATCTGTTAAGATAGACAGACTCCTTGGTGGGGTCCTTGACCCTGGCTGGGAGACCAGTGGAGAGTAGGGACTTTGGTCAGTCTTCACAGAGGAAGGTGGAATTGTTCAGGAAGGGAGGGAACAGGGCAGACAGGCATCTGAAGAATCACAACGAGTTTGGAGTGATTGTAGATTGGCAAGAACTGAATAATTTGCTCAAGAAAAACTTATTACAGGCTGTGCAAGGCACTGTTCTCCAGTATATGGGGATACATAGGTGAGCCCAGCAGGCCAAGACTCCTGTCCTTGTGGCGCCCACATTTTTGCAGAGTGAAATAAATAATAAACATAATGAATAAATTAGTTGTGAAGAACTGTGAATGGAAAATGTAGAACCAGGGTAAAGGGTTGAGTAGGGCTGAGAGAGGATGGGAATTCACAGAATTAAATAGCATGGTCAGGATAGACCTCAGAGCAGATGAGATTTGAGTAAAAGTTTACAGAAGGTGAGATGAGAGAAAGTTACAGAGGAAGGCAGAGGGCCAGCATACCTGGTGTGATTCAGGCTCAGCCTGGAGGGAGGCCACTGTGACTGAACAGAATGTAGTAGTAGATGAAGTCAGAGTGGTGGGGCCAGATTGGGTAGGGGCTCGTAGGCTGTGGCAAGGACTTTGACTTTTACTCTAAGTGAGGCAGAAGCCATGGGAGAATTGTGAGCAGGGAAAGGATGGGATCTGACTTAGCAAGATCCCCTTGACTGCTGGTTGTACAATGGGGTGTAGGGGGTGAAAGAAGCAGCAGGGGACCAGCAAGAAGAAAACTACCGCAGTAGTCTAAGTGACTGGTGATAATGGTGTTGACAGTTGGAGGTGGTGAGAAGAGGTTGGATTCAGGATCTATTTTGAAGGTAGAGGTAACAGGATTTCCTGTCATATTGACTATAGTGGCATAAGGGGGAGTCAGGGAACTTCTCCTCTGTCCTTTGCAGAGCCCTGTGTTCCACTGTGTGAGTGGGAATGATGGTGACTTATGTGAAGGCTGTATCATAGCCAGGATCCTAGGAAGGGAACCAGCATTCAAGGGTAGGGCACCAGAGGGTCCTGGCTATTGGTGATTCTTACTGCTTTTTCCTTCCTCACTGCAGCCTCGGAAAGCTAGCGCCACATGCAGTTCAGCCACAGCAGCAGCCTCCAGTGGCCTGGAGGAGTGGACCAGCCGTTCCCCACGGCAGCGGAGTTCAGCCTCATCACCTGAGCACCCTGAGCTGCATGCCGAGCTGGGCATCAAGCCGCCTTCCCCAGGCACCGTCTTAGCTCTTGCCAAACCTCCTTCACCCTGTGCACCAGGTCAGTGACTCACTCACAGGAAGCCTAAAGGGGTTAGGCACTGCCTTGGTCCTGGGTCCTGAGCCCTGGGCCCTACGCCCTACTTCTGACTGTCCATCTGCCCCAGGTACAAGCAGTCAGTTCTCGGCAGGGGCCGACCGGGCTACTTCCCCCCTTGTGTCCCTCTATCCTGCTCTGGAGTGCCGGGCCCTCATTCAGCAGATGTCCCCCTCTGCCTTTGGTAAGCCTCCTCTGTCTTGGGGAGAAGGGCTAGCTGGGAGCTGGGGAGAGACTGGAAGAAGTGGCAAGTCCTGAGAGGGGGTTTGTGGAGCCTCTGCCCATCTCCTCAAGAAAAAAAAGTAAAAGGCATTGGAGAGGATTTCTCAGGCCCAAGGATTTGCCCCATAAGGAGTCTAAGTGGGCTTTCAAAGGCCTAGGGGAGCTGCCTTCTTAGAGAAAGGGGATTTCTCTAGCACCCCGGAGATCAGCAAAGGGGGATGAGAAGGCAGTTTGAGAGTGCTCCATCATCCTTTTCCTCTTCCTCTTGCCCAGCAGGTCTGAATGACTGGGATGATGATGAGATCCTAGCATCGGTGCTGGCAGTGTCCCAACAGGAATACCTAGACAGTATGAAGAAAAACAAAGTGCACAGAGACCCACCCCCTGACAAGAGTTGATGGAGACCCAGGGACTGGACACCATCTCCCAACCCCCACCACTCCTGTCCTCCGGTGCCACCCTACCTTCTTTGGCTTTCTTCCCTCTTGCCTCCTTCCAGTCTTCCTGCTCTCCCCTTTTCCCTCCTCCCCACTTCCCTCTGGCTGACCCATCCCTGCGCTCCCTCTCATTGCTGCCACCATCACCTGTCTCTCCGCCAGCTGACGTGCCCTGTTGCCCCCCCCGCACAGCACCATCCCTGCATTCCACAGGGGACTCGGGCAAGGGTGCCGAAGGTAGGCAAGAGGCACACAGAGACAGACCAACTGGCAGCCAGGCAGCTCCAGAGGAAAGAACATTCAGACAGAACAAAGTCTCCCTACCCCCCATTCCTTCTGAGATCAGAAAAACTTGCCAACCCCCCCCCCACAACAATGCCAGGGAGGTAGGAGGAAGAAGTGGGAATTTTCCCTTTCCAGTACCCCAAGAATGTCTGAGCCTTCAATGTTGAATTTTTTCTTTATTAAAATGTACTTTTATCTTATAAAATCAACCAATCAAAATGATATAGACGACAGCATTGGCTCTGTGAAGGCGGCATCTCTGGTTTGGGGACAGGCAGGCCATAGGGCATGGAGGGGCACAAAGATGTGGATTGCTGTCTTCTGTCCTCTAGCTCCGTGGAGGTGGGCAGAGGGCTTAGGGTGTGAGCTGGGGCGCAGGGGACGGGGTTGGCAGGTGTCAGACCGACTTTGGACAATGAGACCCTGACCTTGCTGCATTCCTTTTGCCTCCACCACCACCACCACTAGTCTCTTTGGAATCTTGGGGTGGGGGGGGGCATCTTTGGGGATCATGGCCACCACCCAGGATTTGATTGTAGGGAGTGGGAGCAGCCTCGGCAGATGGGGCACCCGTACCCTGCAGGTGTTGACAAGATCCGCCATCTGTAATGTCCTTGGCACAATAAAACCAAATGTCAGTTTCCCTGTGCAGCTCTGTTCTGTGTGGGGCAGGAGGTGGGCGGGGCTCTGGGCAGAGGAGGCAGTGGCAACACAAGCCTTGGCTTGACCTCTGAGGTCTGAATGTTCTCTGGTAGGGTCTGTCTGGGGACCTGGAGTTCATGTTTCACTCACTGTTTATTAAACCTCCTTCTGGACCCATTATCACCAGAAAAGCTCTGTCTGCCTGCTGCTCCCATCCCTGCCTACCGTATTTCCTGGAGGTGTGATGGGAGCAGAGGATATGAGCTTGAGGGCAGAGACTGAACTTCCTGCCTGAATTCCAGTTTCTCTGCCCGCCTCTCACTGTAAATGTTTGCTCTTTCCTTGTGATGATCTGATGAGGAAATACTTGGAAAAGGCACAAATGATGCCTTGTAGCAACATGAGTTTAGTGGAAGTAACCAGAGGGGCCTTCCCTACTGCGTTTTAGAAGGTGGGAAATATCTAAATCATTTTTTGATCATGTCCCCTGCCCTTCCTAGGGGGTAAAGCCAAGGCAGAGAAGGCTGGCTGTCCCCCAGGTTTTCTCATGTCTTTTTTGCTGTGCCTCAGTAATGGAGTCCTTGTGGAAGGGTGTGTGTCTGGCTGTGCATTTGAGGGTATGGTTGGCTGAGTGGCTCTGTCTGCCAGGTGTTTCTGGAATCCAGTGGTCAAGTGTGTGTATGTTGACTTCATTTGAAACCTTTCCTGGAATTTTCTAGTTGTCGTGGCCTTGGTTAAATCATAAACTCTCAAGTTTCAAGTGTCCCATCTATACAGCAGAGGTGATTGATGTCTACTACTTCATGTTCTCTGCTTGTGGGCATTGACAAAGAATGTGTATGGTCAACATAATGTACTACTGGGCATACTGCCTGGCAAGTTCTGAGAGTGCGAATGTTAGTGGGTATCATTAGCCTGTTGTGGAAGTTTCTGCACCGTTTGGCCCATGCCTACCTCTTACTCTGTCCAGTTTCCTTGGCCTTTCCCTGCACTTTGCCTTTCCCTCTTCTGAGTCACCAACCACCTTTGTCTTTCAAGACATGTAGAGGATCGCCTTCTGAGAAGTAACATTCTCACTTCTGTCTGCTAATATCCTCAATTACTATATTGCAAATAAACTTCCTGGGCAGGGGCTTTGGTGCCTGATTTATCTGAGTATCTCTGATATCTGCATCCTCAACAAGACCTGGCCGACTTACAGTTAACCCCTAATAAGATTGAATAAGAGAGAGTACATATATGCATTTGCTTTTGGGGTGTTGTCTGTATGTGTGACTGTTGAGTCCAAGTCTTCATATGTATCTCAAAGAGTGTCTCCAGTCATGTGTGTGATGAGGGCTTGTTTCCAGGTGTGTCAGCTGGAGAAGAAGTGTGGGACTCCTATCTCTGACAGTTTGTGTCTGTATCCGAGATGCGTGCATGTCTGCGTCGGTCTGTCTGTGACAGTGCATCTGTGGTTTCTGTCTGATGGGGTGGATGTCCGTTTGTGTTCCTGTGACAGATTCTGGGTAGCTATTTCTGGATGGTTTGTTTCATTGATAAGCTGCATGTCTGATGGTGTATGTGTGTCTGTGATCAGGTCTATCCATATTGTTTTTGTGACAGCCTTTGTGGCTCACATCAGTACATGTCTTGCCTTTAGAGCAGTGCATGTGTGTCTCTGGAGCATCTGTGTATCTTTCTGTGACAGACTCTATGTCTCATTTCTGGGACAGTGCAAGTCTTGCTGTGACAGTGCATGCCTAATGGTGCCAGTGTGTGTGACAGTTTCTGTCAGTGTATCTGATGGGACGTTTCAGTGTCATCACAAGGCAATGGAGGTCTGTGTGAATCTGGAGTGCCTGTCTTTCTGTAACAGTGTGACAGTGTATGTCTGCATGTGTATCTAGGATGAGTTTCCGTGAATTTGTCTGATGGGATGTATTTGTGTATCTGTCTCATGGAATTTCTGTGTGTCTTTGTCTTCCTGGGGCATGGGCCTTCTCTGGCTATTTTTCACAAATTTGTGTCTTGAGGTGGTTTTACTACTTCTCTGGGTAGCCTCTACCAGATCTCTCAGTCCCTGTCTCTTTCAACCTGAAGTGCAGCCCCAGGCCACTATCACTCTGACTGACTCGCGTCCCCCACGCCATAACCTCACCCCGTTGTTCTAGATTCTGGACCTAAGCTAGTCAGGTCTGTCTTGGTTAATGGCTCCAAACAACATTCCAAAGGCAGCTGCCTCCAGGCATGGGAAACACTGCCTTTCCACTAGTTACTAGGTGCATACCCCAAGGCAGTAGTCAGGAGGGTTACTAGGGCCCTGCTCAGGGTGATCAGGGTGAAGGCTGACGGTCGCCTGGAGGACTCTGGTGAAGGGTGAGAAGCACCTTTCTAGACAGGGTCTTGGATAGCCACAGACTCCAATTCTTAGAAGCCCCGCCTGGCGCTATCTTTGCTAATCTAGAGGCCGAGGCAGCGGCGACTGCAGACCAACTTCTTAGGAAAGGAGACTGCGCAGCTATTTTTTAAGCATGTATATACGTTCTATATATATTATACACACGGACACACCTCACCACCACCACTACAAACAACAACCCCGCACAACAACAAAAACAAACACGGTTGCTGCAAAGGGATTTCCAGAACCGGTTTCCTCTTGCAGTGCACACCACCTCGAGCCCCTCATTTACATGTAGGCCCCGCCTCCTCGGAAGAACCGGGCGTGTATTTGCATAAGAGAGCACTCGAAACGATGAGGGTGGTATGCAAATAAGGTCTGCCTCCGATTGGCTGGGGTACAGCAGGTGCCGCGTCCGGATTGATCAAAGCCAGGTGGGCGGGGCTGTCGCCCAGGGTGACTCCCGGGAGGCGCGTGCCCCAGCTCAGTAGCGTTGGGGCTGGCGCGCGCATCGAATCTTAACGCTGCGCCGTCTGCGGGCGCTTCCGGGCCACCAGTTTCCCTGCCTTCCATCCTGGCGCCCCCCAGCCCTGGCTCGCCGGCCGCGCTGCCCCGGGCGTCCACGCCCTGCGGGCTCAGCGGGTTCAGCGCGTTCAATCTGCGCAGCGCCTCCTCCATGTTGACCAAGCCACTGCAGGGGCCTCCCGCGCCCCCCGTGACCCCCACGCAGCCGCCAGGTGAGCGCAGCCTCCCCTACTGCGACCAAGCGGGGGTGGGCTAAAATGATGGGTTGCGGAGCGTGGGGGGGGGGGGGGGGGGGCTGGGC